TCCGTTCACTTCACACATCACACCTCTACACCTCTGTGGCATACTTTCTCCATCCCCCTACCCTTTCTCCGGATAAAAGGTTAGTTCTTACAGCGAACGTGTGGATCTCTATAGCGAAACGGGCAGGGGGAGCTGTGTTGGGTGTTACAATCCTGCAGCACTTCTGTTGGTGTCCCTTTACTCTTTACTGCGAGCTACTGCAACTTGCCCTTCTTGGTGCCGGAACTCAAGTTACCGTTGTACGGCAGGATGCCAGATCCTCGCTGCCGAAAACACTTGAAGTCACCGTTTTCCCTCTTGTCTGTCTGCCTCCAACTGATCTGACTACCTGCTACCGCTATTCCACGGGTCAGGTCAAGGACAAGAACCGACAACCTGCACGCGCTACAACATGTGTGGTCCTACCAACGCAAAGGCGGATGTTCGGGACTTGGCTGACTCGACCGACTTGACCGGCAAACGAGTCTTCGTGCGGGTGAGGCCTGCACGCTTGCCGTCCTACCGCTGAGTATCTGCGCTTAGCGCCTATTCAAAGCAGAGACTTGTGTTGGGCAGAAGAAAGCGAGGAGAAGGAATGTAGAGAGGACTGCTGTTGGTCGTATTTACCGCGCATGTCCGAAAAAAAAATTTCAATTCCTTTTCCGCCACTTGTCCACGTGCCGATGACCATGCACCTCTCCCAACGAGGGCCATTGACTTTCTCGCTAGACAACTCGAGTGTAGTCTTGCTTGCTGGCCACCATGCGGGTATCTCCGCATGTGTTATGAGCCATTGACCTGGAAGTGTTTGTTTCGAGTAGACCCCTTTGTGTGTACAAATACAACAGTTGTGCCGAGGATCGGTTTAGATTCCGAGAAAAATTGCCTTTGCAACGGAAGATTGCGCCATGAGCACAGAAGCGACATCCGTCATGATGATTGAGACGACCAAGGCGAGGTTTGATGGTAAAGAATGGACTATTTTAGCTGCACTTCCCATGTCGTAATATCTACTGTAGAACTACGGATCAGCGTCTCCTTCAGTAGCTGAAACTACATTGCTTATGTGGCCCTGCCGGCAGCTTCACAAGCTCATATGAATGGCTTGAAAATTCGGAGAATTCGTCCCGTGGTCACCCTCCGGTGTGTTGCCCCAAGCAAGCACATGGACCGCAGATGCCGTTGCTGACTTCCTAAACAGAGGCATTTATTCACTTCTGGTCTAGAGAAGCATCGGTGCAAGGGGATCAGAGCGCTCTTTTTCCATCTGGAAGCCGACCTCGTAATACTGCTGTTGTTATAGTAGGCACCTTTCACGTGCTACCCGAAAAGAATCTAACCTACCCCGCAACGCCCAGTATGCTTCCAAGTTACCCTTTGTCAAACACGTGTGAAAGTACAGAGCCCGCTGGTTCGCTATGTATATCGTACTGCACTACCAAAACTGTTTTGCTGAATTTCGGTGGCACAGGTGGACCTCAACGCCCCGCTGTCGAAGGACTCGCCGCCTGCTGTGACCGACGCTACGCGGCTGAGCGCCGCATGCCCGACCATCACCTTCTTGGCCGACAAGCGGGCCAAGGTCGTTCTCGCCAGTCATCTCGGTCGGCCCAAGAAGCAGGTGGTAGATTCGCTCCGCATGGATCCGGTGGCCGCCAAACTCTCTGAGCTGCTCGGCAAGGAGGCGAGTTTGAGTGTGTAGAGTGTCATCGACAAAGCTGACACAGAACCATTGATTTCCTTATTTATTCTTACCGTTTGTCTTCAACCCAACAGTGGGGTGAAACGATATTTTCCGTCGTTTACTCACCTGTCGTCTGTTCGTTCGAAGACCAAGACGCCGCCTCTATGTTTCCCCCCGTTTCTTCCACATCTGCTTTGTGTATGTTCAGGTGATCAAGATGGACGACTGCATCGGAGCCGCGGTGGAGGAGCGCATTTCGTCAATGGGGAATGGCGACATCATGCTGTTGGAAAACGTCCGATTCCACTCCGGCGAGGAAGTGAGCCAGTACATGAGCTTCAGCTATTGCTGTAACTGTACCACCATTTTCTCTGAATCGATACATCAATGCAAAGGCGATTTCCCCAGTTCAAAGTACCATTCAAAGAAGATACTCATTGCAACTGCTGTTGAGGGTGCTGTCGCTACCTTAGACGACACTGCTGCCTCGGACAAAGTCCCTTGCACACGATCCGGGCGTGCCTTCCTCATGAAGGGTGGTGCTTCGATTTCGAAACTAGCCGTTGTCTGCAAGCATAGTTTTCTCTCCCCTCATTCCTCCGGTGAGGAAGCGATTTGTCGGATTGATGGTTCGACATGGTACTGCTCCGTGTTCACGAGGACCCTTTCTGCAAATGCGACGTTCTCGATGTATCATTAATGACTGCAGAGGCCTGAGCGGTGTTCACAGGCATATGGAAAAACGTTTTCAGTTTATTATCATGAAAACACGTAGCGGGAACAAACGAGCGTCGATTCGTCACGCATTTGACGCAATGCCGGGTTTTACACCGCCTGCCATCGGCATGGCAGAGCAACGACGAGGAGTTCAGCAAGCAGCTGGCGGCGCTGTGCGACTTCTACGTCAATGACGCCTTCGGGACGGCGCACCGCGCCCACGCGTCCACAGAAGGCATCACCAAGTTCGTCGACCGCAAGGTGAACATGGCATTCGATCCCGGTCGGTTGAGAATATATATCGATATACGGCGCGCACGCTGAGAGTGTCCGATTGATCTTGATCGTCCTGCAGGAGAGTTGTTGTGCGTGCGTGATGCAACAAGTAGGGCCAAACGAGCCCCCCAAGTTGAATGCCCCGGGTCTACGACAAACCATCTCACGTGGTAGAATGGAGCCTAGTCCCCGGAGCTTGTTCTGTGCATTGTTTCGAATCCCCCCGGTAGGTGTGTTTTTTCGTTCCGACATGGAGACAATAGGTAGGGCTAGGCGCCAATGGATACGCGAGCAATTTGCTGCCGAATCCAGCGGTGCGTTTCTGCAAAACACAACACAGACGGTGAAAAACGGTGAAACAACAACGAATCTGTTTGTATTCTCCACAAGCACCAGTCTCGGGGAGCGATTTCCCCGTGCAGTGCGTACCTCCGTGATTTTGGCCGACGTGCGTAGCGTAGTCTCCCTGTGAGGGTTCCTGTCCGTGCACGATTCAGGTGTACACCCAGTGCATTGTCTGCACCTCTGGTTGAACCAATCGAGTGGACTCGTCCATTTTCCAATGCCGACAACGGTCCATCGTTCAGCTTGTAGATTTGACATCGCCGCACGCTCGTACCCGCGCTCACTGCATCCGCCGTCTCAACTCTTGACGTGACGCGCACTTTCTTGTCTCGCCCTACCCCTGAACGTCTGCAACCGGCTGGCGCTCGTTTGTTCTCGGTATCGCTCAGGTGTCCGGCATGTTGATGGAGAAGGAACTCAAGTACCTCAAGGGAGCAGTGGACAGCCCTGTTCGGCCGATGGCGTGTATTGTGGGGGGTGCCAAGGTGTCTTCTAAGGTACTTTCCAGATATATATATATATATATATATATTCACTGTTCCTTCACGCGCAACGAACGAATCAGTACGTGCTGCCTTGGCAACGCACGCCCGAGTCAATCGCGGACATTCGTGGGCTTTAGCCCGACAATGTTGTCGTTCCATGCCATTTGGTCGCGCGTACATCGCGTATACACAGCACCTGCCAACTATTTTCCTCCCTTCTTCTAATTAGATTACGGTGATCGAAGCTCTGATCGAAAAGTGTGACGTCATCCTGCTCGGGGGCGGCATGATCTTCACCTTCTACAAGGCCAAGGGACTCGGAGTCGGCAAGTCCTTGGTGAGACAACGGCGTTTGTGATTGATCATGTGAACATCATAGTCTGTTTCCGACTCGTGTGACGCAGTTCCGCCTTTACTCATACTCGTCGTTTTTATATGTTGTGACTGCGTCCACAAATCGATGGTATGGGGTGAGCTGTTGGGAAGGATGCCCCTCGGTTCGCTTCTCATCCCCCCATTTGTTCGTGGCCTGCTCGTGGTCGATCAATTGCAATACCTGCGTGTGTGTGCCGTTTCTAGGTGGAGGACGACTATGTTGATCTCGCTAGAGACCTCATGAGCAAAGCTGAGGCGAAGGGTGTCAAGATGCTCCTTCCGGAGGACGTCGTCGTTGCCGACAAGGCAAGAAAGATGAACAAACACTGATACCTATCACGCAGAGATGGAGCTAGATAGAGAGAGACGTTCATTGAGTGAGGGAAAGAGAGACAAGCAAGACTCAAGAAGCAGGTGCAGAGGAAGAGAGCACACACACAGAAAGATTGGCTAAGGCCTGAACGCGATCGGCGATACTATGTAACGAACTCCGTCTGTTCTGAGTTGGCTGCTAGACTGCAAGGTATCAGCATACGTTGAAGCTTCGTGTCTTTACCTATGCTGATCAACTACAAATATGGCGGGCACGTTTGTGTTCCAATATATTCTCTAACCCCTGCCCCCTGTCGTTCTCGGTTGTCGCGACCTGCCCAAACAACGAAATGCTACCGATCTCCAAATCTGGTTTCTATCCAGTTCTCCCCAACGGCCGAATCGGACACCGTAACGGTCGACAGCATCCCGGAGGAATGGATGGGGCTTGACGTAGGGCAGAAGACAATCTCCGCCTTCGAGCATGCCTTGGCTCCATGCAAAACCATTGTGAGTGACTGCCTTGGTTGGTTGGAATATCTCCAATTTTCCCTCCAGCGTGCATTTGATTTCTCCTTGGCTGTGCGAACGCCAACTTGGTGGCTGAGACGGTGACCTTTGCATATATGTAGCATATCCCATGTGTGGGGTTCGAGAGAGGTCAAGTATAGGCAATCAAATCCCCCCCCTCCCCACCGTCCCCGCCTCACGGACCATCCACCCGCACATCGCCACCCGTTGGTCCTTTCTCCCCTTCCATCGAAGCCCTGACCCTTCCTCCCTTGCTTCCGCGATGGTGGCGGCACTGTTAGGTGTGGAACGGACCGATGGGGGTGTTCGAGTTCGACAAGTTTGCCGCGGGAACGTTCGCCGTGGCCAGCTGCCTGGCCGACCTCACCTCGAAGGGAGCGATCACCATCATCGGAGGCGGAGACTCGGTACGATTGAGACATTCCCGGAAACATGTTGCTTGAAGAGAACGTAACAAAACAAGTCCTACTCATCACTACCGAAAGTCAGTAGACACACACGCCACCCATGGTCAATTACAAGGTGGTGGCCTTAAGGCGGTGGAGATGCCAGCAGGCTCCGCGGTCCGGCAACAGGTAGTACATTGTTGTTCGAGGAAAAAAGTGCATCGAGGCGCGAACGCCTTCTGATCGTCCTCTTGCTGCCCCCGCCCCCTCTTCCTCGCGCGCTCCCCACTCACTGCGACCACCTCTGCAAATACCAACTGAAAAATGAATTAACCAGGTGGCTGCCGTGGAGAAGGCCAACCTCGCCGACAAGATGTCCCACATTTCCACCGGCGGCGGAGCTAGCCTAGAGCTGCTCGAGGGCAAGGAGCTTCCGGGAGTAAACGCTATCGAGGAGAGGTCTTGAACTGGCATGCTCGTGACGCTTGCCGTTCGCCGCTTGCTTCGCTGCTGCGGTGGGTAGCGCGGTATAGACCTCGTTTAGTGCACTGACGGAATCAGTGGTAGCATTTAGGTGAAGGCATCGGAAATTCATGCGGTATTTTGCTGTAGGACTGGGTATGTTCTGTTCTGTTGTATCCCATAAATGTAGGAACGTCGTGATGGGTTGACTAACAGCGTGGATTTGACTATGCTCTTTTCCGACAAACGTGTATTTAAAGGTGTAGGCGTATTGTTTGATTCATTCTTCCAGAGTTTTTCACAAGTTGTGCATTTGGCCCTCCCATCATTGCCGTTTCGGCTTCCCGTCTATAACGAAATTCTGGATCTCGAGTACCAGGACCTGGTTTGCGTCTCAACGCAGGCAGGGTTCAGACAGGCTCGTCTATTTCAATTTCTTTGGTGCAGTGACTTGTGGACGTTTTGGAGGATATTTCATGGTTGCTCGCGTCTATGCGGGAATGTGGCAGGGTAGACGTGGGACGGAGTTAGCCGGTGTGGGGGAAAACACCCCCGTGATTTTTTGCGCGTGGAATTAGTTTCAGTTCTCTATCATCACCATCAATAACATAGGGTAGCTGCCAACGTTGAATATTAGAAAGGGACGAAGGAGACGAAGAAATTTGGCAAACAATTAGGTTCTCGGTGATCGTGTGTTACGTGGTGTGCTTCTGGTGTATGGTCTTGGCTAACACTGTTACTGAATTGGGCAAATTTCTCTTGCCTCTCTCACTTGGAAGCCCATCGAGAAGGGCGGTAAGTTGAGCACCAGCTCTGTTGCGCAACTTCTTGTGCCGCTCAGGTTTGGCGCTCATTTGTGTAGACCTGACAACGCAGGGGCATTTACTTCCACTCTCGTATGGGTCTGGCACAGATAATGCATGGGCACATTTCCTGCAAAGAACACAGGTGTCACCGAAAACCTCGTCGACGCCCTTAATGTCTTATCTGCTACATTTCGTTGTCAGCCTACCCCCACCCGGGGGAAAGGCATGTGCCAAGGCTACTCGGGTACTCTTCCTCAAGTTTTCAACCAAAAACGCGTAGCTGAAACTTGTACTTGAAACGTAGCGTGCCATGTAGACATGTAGACTGCCGTGGTAGACCCTGCTGGTTGTTCCTCCTGAAACGAACAGACTTGGAACTAGACGATGGGCGGAGGAAGGTCCGTAGAAACACTTGTACGACAAGCCAAGTTACATCTTGGAGAAGAAGTGCTTGGGGCGATTTCCTTGATGTTGGGTTATCTGCGGAGGTACTCTTGTTAGCTGAGCGAATTCCATGATCCCCACCCGTATGGACCAAAAAACGAACGTGGGCGGGCTCTAGATCGAGGCACAGGTAGGTCATGTTTTTTTTGTTTTTTTTGTTTTTCTCCCATCATTGGACTCTGTCGTCTGCCCCTCTGGCCCCTATCCTCCACTTCTACTAGCTAGACGACCCAACCGGGGTCACATAGGAGGGGGGGTTGGACCCCCTCCTGAGGTTCATGCCTGAGGTATTTTTATCGCGAGAAGGGTACGGCAATCCCTTCCCTCGCGACTTACGAAGTCGATTATGGTTTACTAACAAACGAGCTTTGCAGCGCGTCGCTTTCATCCTAGACCAGGATTTATTTAGTGAGAAAAAAACTCTCTCTGCCGGGACTCGAACCCATGACCTGGCCCTTAGCAGGCTGCGATGTGTGTGCGTTCCAATCCAAAACAAAGCAGGAATACCCCACGTCCATCCCTGCCAACGTCGGACTGTGCTCTGTGTTAGGATTTCGCCGGCCAGGCTCACCCCTGGCGCACGCCTTCACACAAACACGGTTGCCATACCTGAAAGTTCTCGGTACTGTACGCACAACGGGAAACAAAAGGCACAAACTGTAAACAACAGCGTCGAGCGATACTACCCTATCACATCGGGAACGGTTGGGTGCAATCGAAAGGAAGGAATGCAAGGGACGTAGAGGTGTGGCGAGTATCTTCCTGCCGCTCCGTCCGTTGTGAGTCCGTCCGCGGTAGAGACATCTCGCCGACGGGATGCCTCAAAATGAGTTGCACGAGGTCATCCACCCATGGTTGGTCTCACAATAGATGGACGAACAGCTGGGCTTCATGCGTGCTGCGACCTATTTCGCCTCGCGCTGTTTTCTGGATCTCGTCTCTGGGCAGCAACTTGTCCTTGGCGTGAATCGTGCGGACGTTGTTGTGTGGATGGAAACGATGAGTCCCTGCAGTTTGGTCAGCAAGAAAAAAACTGTCGACGGTTGCGGTCTTCAAAAGAGAGCTCCAGCATGCAATTCGAACACTCTCTGCAGAAGATTGAGTTTCTTTCTGGCCGACATCATGATGAACGGGATGCCAATATTGTTTGGAAAACGCTCTGATTTTGCAAGTTAGCATGTAGGTGATGTGCTTACGTTTTTTCTTGAATATCTGTAGGTACACATCGTTTTTTTTGGCGTGTTGTGTGCTGAGACGATAGAAGTAGCTCTCCACCGTCTAACTCGGTGATTGTAGCACCGACGTGAGGAGTTGTGTCCTAAATTCAAACATGATCAGAACCACGTAGACTATTGTAGAGACTGCACACATGCGCGATGCGGCCAAGATCGATCGCAAATGGTCGGTCAACTGAAGTCAAACACATGCATGCGTGTTGCGGCCAAGATCCATCACAAACGGCCTGTCAACTGAAGTCAAAAACTAAATTTCACCAAACAAGATTTTCTTGTATATATACAGATGATCTGAACGCACGCCATGCAAGGTATTATTCGGCATGTAGACGCCATGTCCCTCCAGTTGGAGATGATGCGGCCCACCTGCTTCTCCGGCTGCCCATTCTCGAGGAAAGTTGCCGAGAAATGATTGTTGTGCGATTGCTTGCACACATGATCTTTCTTCTTTCGTCTTACGCCAACCGCAAATACCTAAAGCTTCCCCCCAAAACTCTGCCACAAGGAAGCACGTCTGTGTACACGCACGTACGAACCTCCCGACTTCTTGCCTCCTGCTCTTTGTTGCGTGACGCTGGCGACTGGCGACGAACGACAACCGACCGCGACAAAAAGTCCGTGATTGTTCCTCGGCATGGTGACGATATATTCCGCCGCGGTTCTCCGTAGTTCCTAGCGGAGGAATGGAGGACGTCGAAAAGCGCAAACAAAGCAAACAAGCTGATGAATCCGTTGCGAGGTGGAAGCGAACAGATGAAACAAAGAGCGCTGCTTGCACAGGATCCACGAACAGCCCGAAAAGATGAAATCGAGGTGAGCAAGTAGTGTAGCGAACAGGTCCCACAGTTAGTTGCATTTGATCAATATCGATCAAACAGGAGGCACAATTTGCATGACCCCAAAGGCAAGGTTCGTGGGTTCGTGGTTGTTGGTGCTGTGGTGGTTGTGATCATCTACATATCCGCGCAACAGCAAAGGCTTTATCTGGTGCGAATGGTGCAACTCCTCAGAGAAAACCAAACTTTTGTCACTAGTCTGTCAAATAGAGTGAGTAATCCAACGAGACTTTGGCCACTCTGGGGCTGTGAGCAATCAATCCCTGACTCCAACACCTCGTTCGTGTGGCACTTTGTTCTCTCGAAAAATGGCATCTCCGCATCAAATTAGTCTATGGGGTACGTAGCGCCCGTCCACGNTACGCACGCCTCGGGGCGGGTGCGCCGCAGCAAGAAGGTATCGATCGGTCCCTTGAGGGTGAGTCTAGCCCTGCTCGCTAGAAAGACCCCCCCCCTCGCTATGGGTCATGCCTGTACGCAAAACCTTCCCGAGGCAGCGAGGGGAAGAAAGATACACACACGTGCTCGTTTCCCATTCTGTTCCGATTTGTTCAGAGTTGCTGGATGTACCACATGCCAAGAAAGACGGGTCGTTCGTGCGTGCGGAAAAATGTGCCGAATAGCAAGTTTCCACAAGTTTCATCCCATTCCTGCCAACTCGCGGTACTACAGTCGACCCCGCTTTAAAGACACACCGCGTTTTTTTTTTTGGAGTGTC